TCGTCGTGGTCGTTCTTGTAGTAGTCGTTGTTGTCGAAACCTTAGTCGTGGTGCTCGTAGTAGTCGAAGCCTGAGTCGTAGTGCTCGTAGTAGTCGAAGCCTGAGTGCTCGTAGTAGCCGAAGCCTGAGTCGTAGTGCTCGTAGTAGTCGAAACCTGAGTCGTAGTACTCGTAGTAGTCGAAGCCTGAGTCGTAGTGCTCGTAGTAGTCGAAGCCTGAGTCGTGGTGCTCGTAGTAGTCGAAGCCTGAGTCGTAGTGCTCGTAGTAGTCGAAGCCTGAGTCGTAGAGCTCGTAGTAGTCGAAGCCCGAGTCGTAGAGCTCGTAGTAGTCGAAGCCTGAGTGCTCGTAGTAGTTGAAGCCTGAGTCGTAGTGCTCGTAGTAGTTGAAGCCTGAGTCGTAGTGCTCGTAGTAGTCGAAGCCTGAGTGCTCGTAGTGGTTGAAGCCCGAGTCGTAGTGCTCGTAGTAGTCGAAGCCTGAGTGCTCGTAGTAGTCGAAGCCTGAGTGCTCGTAGTCGTCGAAGCCTGAGTCGTAGTGCTCGTAGTAGTCGAAGCCTGAGTGCTCGTAGTCGTCGAAGCCTGAGTGCTCGTAGTGCTCGTAGTAGTCGAAGCCTTAGTCGTAGTGATCGTAGTAGTCGAAGCCTGAGTCGTAGTGCTCGTAGTAGTCGAAGCCTGAGTCGTAGTGCTCGTAGTAGTCGAAGCCTGAGTCGTAGTGCTCGTAGTAGTTGAAGCCTGAGTCGTAGTGCTCGTAGTAGTCGAAGCCTGAGTGCTCGTAGTCGTCGAAGCCTGAGTCGTAGTGCTCGTAGTAGTCGAAACCTGAGTCGTAGTACTCGTAGTAGTCGAAGCCTGAGTCGTAGTGCTCGTAGTAGTCGAAGCCTGAGTCGGAGTGCTCGTAGTAGTCGAAGCCTGAGTGCTCGTAGTCGTCGAAGAGCTCACCTCGTTGAGTCCACGAGTCATATCAGAATCCAACATACGTTGATGATCAATATAATCCTTGCTAATAGTATCTAATCTACGTTCATAACTTTGTCTAGAAGTATCTAAGTCCACAGCCGAGGCCTCATGAACGGTCCCCATGCTATTAGGAACTGATGAAGAAATAGAGAAGTCGCAATTGTTGTAAGTAAG